GAGAGAGAGAGAGAGAGAGAGAAAGAGAGGGAGAGAGAGGGCGAAGGAGATAGAGAAAGAGAGAGATAGAGACAGAGAGATAGAGAGAGAGAAATAATTTTTACGGATGTATGCATGTTACAGAGGCAGCTTAGTAAAAGATAAAAATCAGAAAAAGAAGAAATTAAGAAATTTTGAAATTTGCTGACATTAATAAGAGTATTAAAAAATGTTAATACCATGCATAACTGATAAACTATTCGCTGTTTATTTTTTGTTTCGGGTTTGTTGTTGCTGTTTTGTTTTGTTTTTTGGTTTGGGGGGTTTTGGGGTTATTTTTTGGGTTATTTTTGGTGTTGGGTTTTCTTTTTTTCATGGAAAGAGGGCGGGGGGGGAATAAACATCCGAAAGTCAACATTCTTTTTTCACCACGTTCCCAAAGCCATCCTTGTCTTTGTCAGAAATAGAAATACAAAGCCAACTCTTGCTTATTAAATTTTTATAATACATTATTCAAGACATTCCCAGGCTACTTGATTAGTCTACTTTGTACGTCTCTGGTGGAACGTTGGCTGGTCGTTCAAGCACTGGAGGAAAGTGCTCGGGAAGTCTGTAGTCCAGGCGCTCTCTCACAATGGCCTCTAGGTCGGGGTGATCATCGGGCAATCTGCTCTGTTCAGGCTGATAGCGAGGGCTTCTTTCATTGTCCGGCTCGCGGGAGGCGTCGTTCTTGTAGGGGTCATAGTCGACGGGAGGGGGTGGTGGGGGCGGGCTGTAGGTGTCCATGAATTTGCCCGTCCTCTCGTCGTAATAAAGACGTTCGTCTAGGTCGTAGTAAGGTCGGCCTGAGTTGTTGGGGTCACTGGTGCTGAGGAGAAAGCAGTGTTGTGTAGTTTATGAGGTTTTGGTAGGAAGTTATTTATATATTTTTTCTTTAAAAAAACATATCATATACTCATTCAATTTATTACACATATAGTATTTGCTTTGACATTGAATGCACAATTATTATTTAATTATATAATTTTTGCTTATTCATTTCATGAGTTCCATCATTTTTGTTTTATTCAGTCATACAAGCAGGATTAAGAGAGAGTTCTTTACAAAAGAAAGGACCTTATTTTTTATTGCTCCAAGTGTGCTAATGATGTTTTGCTCTCCAAAGTATAACATTATAATAATAATTTTTAAAAATGTTTTCCCAACAGTACTGTCTCGAAAACTTCTGATATCGGTTACCAACTTTTAGCAAAATTTTCAGTTGATAATCACAGATTCATAGTTTTCATTTTTGTTTCTCTTTTTATATTTTAATTAATCATAGTCTGCTTTGGTCTGCAATAATGCTGAAAGGGACGTTAAAATAATTGTGTAATTTTTGTGAAAATGTGTTCTGTGCCCACTCGATGTCGTATCAGCAGTTAGGGCACGTAATGACTAAAACTATGAACAGAAGAAACTTATTGTAGAGTTATTTCCCTCTCCACATACTTGTTCCTACGCGGCGGTGGTGGGTGTGGTGGTGAGGGCGGATGGGGCCCCGTCGGAGAAGGACGAGAGTCGGTGTCTGGTAGCTGAAACAACAGCACATTAGAGACAAATTAGTTTTGTTATTGAAAAGACAAAAGGTAGTAGGTCCAAGTCGTTACATGATTTACTATTAAATAATCATTAAACAGTGGAACAAACTGATAAGCAAAACACAAAATGAAATTAACAAGGAACAGTGACGCAAAGTAAACTCATATTATTCTACCGAACTGTCCAACCCCACGAACCCACTTTGAGAGATCAAACTACTGTAAGTCAGTAAAGGTGAAAAGTAAACGTTTCATACAAAACCCTGAATAAAGTTTTTAGAACTGATACCTAATGTGACATGCCGCATGATTTTATCTAAAACAAATGTATATAAAGACCGTCGTGGAGAAATAATAAGTCTCATTTTTCAGGTTAAAAGAGATTTGTAGAGTTCAGAACACACTGGATTTCCATCTTTTATATAAAGTACCATTGTTTTAACACTCTCTAAGCCAGCACTGATTGTTGTTCTATTTGACAGGGAATTTAAAAAAAAAATTAGTACGGGTACAGTATAGATCCCGGATAATACACGCCCAAGGTGATAATTCAATTATTTCGAAGTGGAACTCGATTGTTGTTTTTTTATGGTGTTTCATAAATGAATACTGACTGACATGGTAAAAAAAGAGAATAATTTATCTTCGGAACTGCAGAGTTTTGAGCCTTCTATACTACAAAATACCACGTGCATTAAGATTAATATTGTACAAGTATCTGTCTAATAACTAACCAACTTCAAGAAAGCACCAACCTCAAGAAAGCCCAGCTCCTCTTCTGTCTTACTGTAAGCCAAACCGATGCAAACTGGAATCCTGCCTTTGCATACAGAGCGACTGTTTCCTTCACCAACTTCGCAAAGCTGTGAACATTTATTTGAGAAATGATGTTATTATCTTTCTTTTCTCAACTAAAGAAGATAGTCGACTGGGGGGAAAACCTGCAATCTGATAGACAACGGATGTAGTACCACAACAGCCGTTACACAAACGAACACACATACGCACACAAATACACACACATACACACACACACACACACACACACACACATACATGCACATACACACACACACACGCACACACACATACACATTCACCTATACATACACAAATACACGCACACCCACACACCTCTACACATACACGCGCTAAAATACACACACACACACACACACACACACAC